TAAGTTTTAAAAGGGAAAAGGTCATTTTCATAAAGTGTTTACCATTTACTTCATTCAATTTTATCTTATTTGTTTCAGGTTTTCTAGACTTTATTAGGCTTTTTTTTGTTCTTAGTATCTATTGTTTAAAGTACACTGCACTATTAACTTATGTCTTTAAATCTAAAAGTAGTTCTTTGCGCCACTATATGTCGGTAATTTACGAGTATAATATGTTACGAAAAAATATCTCATTGAAATGGCTGTGTGATGCCAAATAAATTTAAAAAAAAATTGAGTTTTCTTCTTTCTGTCGGGTTTACTTTTTTGTAACACTACGAACAACGTATACGATTACAGCATTATTTTAAATCTAGTAGTAATGTAGAGTCTGAAATTTGATATTCATTACGGAGACATTGATCTAAAAGCCGCAGACTCTTGGTATGTGTCCGTCATTCCATACGATGTGTAACTACGTTGTAGCGAAATGCATTTGACTTTACACAGCTCGTCCAGTCTAAATACGAATAAAATTAGACTTTGAGATCATTTGAACCCATTGGTCATAATAATAAAAATTCAGAGGGCAATTCTATTCCTTTCATTAATCTTCATTTTTCTTACTTTTACTGAGACTTTTTTATAGTATAAGGGAGACAAACGAGCACACAGTCCAACTGATGTTAAGTGGATGCTGTGGCCCACAGATATCTACATTTATCTTCAATTAAAAATCAAAATGCATATGCGTTGCCAGTCCTGAGGACTGATATGTAATGCCGCGTTTCCAGTAAAAAGGGTCTCCGGTTCTCTACACTCACCATACAAAACACAGCACCATTAAACTGCTATTTTACACTGGCATTCTGTGAGAGCGTGATCCTACCCCGGTTGAGCCGACCCATTCGTGCTGCAACTACCATATAGATGCGCATGGCTCAAACAGGATGTTGATGTATTCAGGTGGCTCAAGACCGTGACAGTCGTTGGGGAGGCTTATGTACAGCAGTGGACTAGTGATGGGTTGTAATAGAATCCAAATACTATTATTGGCGCCAGGGGCCCTGCGAAATTCATCTTGCTCACACCTAATTTAGGTCTTGCTCCGCTCCTGCTTCGGCTTCATCACAACTTACCATCAGGAGGGATTGTGTTATTATATAAATGTTTAGAGAATATAAATAACCAAAAAAATTTGGATAGATCTGGGTAAAACATATCTGCATTGTGATTTTTCACATCATCATTACGATGAAACGATAAATAAGGAATTAATAAGAATAAGCACTACATGGCTACATTAACGTTTTAAACATTAAAGAGATAATTTTTTAAATTATTCAAATGTAAATATCTTGTATATTTCTTATCAATTCAGGTTTTTTAAATAGATACGTGATAAATTCAATGGTTATAATTTTATGACTTTAAACTAAATATTATTGATGACAATTTGTGAGTTCTTGGAGGCGCGTTAGCGACCGCTGTTTTTATATTATTTTGAGTTGTTAAGAGGAAGATGCTGCTGCCTATGTCACAGAATAAATACGAGCACTAAAAGTATCGGGAATGAAATATTTCCACTGTTCCTGTCATATTAAAATCTTTTTAATTGAAAACTCCTTGGTTTTAAAAATCGAACACCATTTATTTATTTAAAAAAAGATTCTCGGTCTTGTCACAAGGTTTTGTCAAACTTTTTTAGTCGTTTAGAAAATGGAATTGACTCGAGAAAACTCAAGAGCGATGATTTATTATGACTTTCGAAGTGGTTTAACACAAAAACAGTGTGTTGACCGGATGATTTCTGCATTTGGTGATAAAGCCCCATCCAAAACCACAATTTATCGCTGGTTTGCTGAATTTCAACGTGGACGTGTCAAGCTCAGTGATGATCCCCGTCAAGGTCGTCCAAAAACTGTGGTCACCCAAGAAAACGTTGATGCTGTGCGTAAGCTGATTGAGGACGATCGACATGTGACATACCGCGAAATTCAGACAACTTTAGACATTGACATGAGTCAAACACAAATAATCTTGCATGGACAATTAGCTGTAAAAAAGTTGTTTTTCCGATGGATACCGCATTCGCTCTGTGAAGAGCAAAAAGCGGCTCGCGTTACTTGGTGCGCCAGAACTCTCGAAAGATTCCACGCAGGATCCTCAAATGTTGTATACAACATCGTATCAGGTGACGAATTCTGTATATACGCGTACGAACCCGAAACAAAAAACCAGTCACGAGATGGGTGTTCGAAAATGAGTTAAAGCCAACAAAAATTGTTCGTTCACGGAGTGTTGCAAAAAAAAATGGTGGCCACGTTTGTCTCCAAACCAGCCATGTTACGACTATTCCTCTTGAGGGACAAAGAACGGTTAATGCAGAATGGTATGCTAACAGGCCACAGTGTTACTCGCTGCAACCGCCGCATCATCCTTCATCACGACAATGCGAGTTCTCACACCGCACACAGTTTTTAGAGCAAGAAAACATAGAATTATTAGATCATCCGCCGTACAGCCCCGACCTAAGCCCTAATGATTTCTATACTTTCCCTAAAATAAAGAATAAATTGCCGTGGACAGAGATTTTCATCACCTGAAGAAGCTGTGGACGCCTACAACCCGGAAAATACTTCGAAAGGCAATAAATACATTTTTAAATAGTAATGTTGTGTCACTTCCTTGATTCCCGAAATTTTCAGTGCCGCCCTCGTAGTACTACGTACGTATGTGCGGTTTCATTTCCCTCCGTCGTCTCTTACGACTAGCATGAGATGATAAAGGCTAGTTGGATTCTCTTACGCCGAAATTCAATAGCAAGTACTTTTTAATGAAGTTAAACAAATTATAACATTTAATTAAAATTAGCATTTCATTATAAAATAGATTTGAAGTATAATATTTTGTTAAAATTAAATATTCATTGTCTAAATAAATGATTTCAATATCAATTATTTCATTAGTTGTGATCCCTATAGCATATAAGTGCTAGCATTTTTTTAACCGACTTAAAGTGCTAAACGCTTAATTAGCCTTTCAGTTAATAGCCTAGCCTTTTTACTAAACGGTGCTGTTCAACTAGCGGCCTGAATGATATTCAGCCGATGCGTCTAATATAACATTGCACCTATCTTGTAATATCAGCAGCAGTAGGTTATGGAGAGCCGACCTAAAGCCGCGTACGTTTATATAATATAGCACACAGCGCATAATAGGCACAGGCCAGCGACATTACTTGGCATGGTCACCTTATTAATTTCATTATCATTCAGGCCTTTAGTTGAACGACGCCGTTTTGTAAAGAGGGCTAGGCTGTTAACTAAAAGGCTAATTAAGCTAGTTGACCGCGACATACATTTATTTTTTAATATATGAACTATTTAAATGTAAAAAGCAAATAGGACTTATACAACGTACATTGTAAATTATTATTAGAATAAGTCAAAAAAGGTTTCGTGTTAGTCCTTTCTGTACAGAAGTTTTTTCCGCATCAGTGGTAAAATCATAAAAAACTAAATAACTATAACTATATATAATCTATATTGAATAAAAATGCTTCATCACCAGCATTTTCATCAGCCCACTTCGTTCTCCCGTTATAAGGTTATTGGTTGCTACTACGACACCCACGGGACGAAGTAGGTGATGGATTCACAAACACTGCCAACACACGCCTTAAATTATTTTGTTAACACAAACAGTATTGTAATATTAGGAAATAAATTACATATGGCAGCAGCTGTAAGAAAGCTAGGACTCCTAGCAAAGTTGCGGTAATACTTCACGCCGGGACAGGTGCATGCTATATATAAAGCGCAAGTCCGGTCGTGCATGGAGTGTTGCTGCTATATATGAGCTAGCTACCAGCTTTGGATTCAATGGATAAGCGTGCTAAGAGGCTTATTGGTGACTCGAATTTGGTTAAAACCAATCTTACCAGCCTCGAACACGAGCGTAAATTAGCCAGCCTTTGGGTTTTCTACAGGATGCATTTCGGAGAGTGTTCGCAGGAATTGCATAATTTATTTTCCCCCTCTCCTTTCCGTCATCGTTTAGACGTTCGGACAGATTTTTTTTGCGCCCGAAGCAAATATGGGCAACCCTCCGGAAAGCGGGGGAGGGAGGCGGTTAATGCTCATAGCATACCACGCAGCCGGCTGCGTGGTTATGTGGAGACTTTTACCCACTAAACACCGCCTTTTAGGGACTGGCTTAACGGTCTAACTGGAGATCTCTAAGCCGTATACGAACGCGACCCTCCTTGGCAGAAAGGAGGGCGCAAATTCGGCCAGTCTCACCCTTTCGTTGATTTAAGGTTTCATTTATTTGTATCGTTCAACGTAAACTTTGGGAAGAAAAAACACCAATTTCATAACAATAATTGTCTTATTACGATATTAACGACTAAAAGCGTTAACTTTTTATGTATGTATTTATTACCTGACTTAAATGTATACAGCACTTAATTACTTTTTAGTATCTATGTAGTACAGAGGTAGATACTTTAAATATTTGAATTGAAAAAGAATTAATTGTAAATTCTTTCAGCGGTCGACTTAATATTTAAAATATTATTTAAATTCAATGCCGCAACGCATAACAAAATATTTTTTTTTTATTTCTTTAAAAGGTATTTTATTATAAGGTATGTATGTAAAATATTATTTTTAAAATATAGTATTTTATTCTCCTTGGATGTGTAAATATAAGAAATTATATTATCTTTGGATGTTGTTTAAATTTGTATGAGACCACTACAAAGGTAAAGGTTTCAAGAAAATATCAGTAAAATCGATTTATTATCCTCGGATCCTCCTATGTTAAATTTTTATTATATACTCCACTTAATGACCTTCTTTTTTTAAAGTCGGTCTATAGGCGTTTGGGCACGTTTTTCAAAACAACAACAAACGAGAAATAGAAGAGATTTTTGGAAACGTGATACTCGTATAGTAGTTAGTTTTATTATTTGAGAAAACCCAATAATAAGAACATTTCGATATTAACAGACTTACGCGAGGTTCTTCTTTTAAAGAAAAAACATCAGAGGATGGTAGACTGGACATATTCTTCACTACCCGTTTATTATTTTTGGATGAATAGCTCATTTTCTTAATCACAGTTTGTCACGGATTTTTTTTAAGGTTTACACTTAAAAATTTAACTAAAGCTTGGAACACAACATTGTATCGCGGGCGCAGCGCAGCCTTGTCGCGGAACGATAGGCACGTAGGCCTACGACACCCGGCAATGAGGATGAATGACGAGTGAGAGACGAGGACGACTTTAGACAGAGAGAACCAATATAGATGTCCCTTTGAATCAGAAGATTGTACTTAAGGATCGTAATGCATAAGCGTTTGATAACCGCAGTGCAAATGTAAATGTTTATAAATAATAACAAAGCCATGGTTATAATAATTAAAAATTTAAATTGCAATCGAATAAGCTAACGATATTTTATTTTTCATAGTGCATTATAAAGAGGTATATGAATACACGTATTTTTTTATTATAATATACTTAAATTTTATGTTACATATAACTTTAAAAAAGAATACTTCCATTCAAAGGACTTCTCCTGTATTGCTGGAATGTTTTATATACTTGAATTGCACATTAAAACGCCTTTAATTTTTTTCCCTACACTAAGTATTTCCTCTATACACATGGCAAACCTGATTTCGGACACCTAATAAAAAAATCTTAGAATCAAATGTGCGGGAATCGAACCGTTACATGCAGCACCGTAGACATCCACTAGCCACAGTGCTATAGTTTTTTTTATGTGGATATTTACCCATATATATACGGGGATTATGTCGGGCTCTTACCAATAGAAACCCTAAAGTGGTCGCTCAGAGCATCGCAAAGGAGTCGACGGGATCTTCATAATATAAAACGTGACCGCGGCCAGTCCACCGCTATGCGGTGAAGTAAACTTGTCCTAGTAATGCTTACATGCTCCTGAAGGCCCGCGAGGCTGTTACAATGTTTCGAGACCACGTCTTCGTTATCTTCCTCGGTGTGACAATCATGAGCAATCAATCACTATCAAGTGGACGGTTAGCTTGTTTTTATTCTAATGTTAAAATACTATTTCAAACGAAAAACGACTATTAATGAATGGGCATTAGTGACCTACAGCCCTAGAAAGAAATACTTTTAGGCTACTAAACGTAAATTAAAATACTTGTAAATCTTGCATTTTTGTCTGATTGATTAAAACCAAACATTAATTTTAATAAGGGCCTAAAATGGGTCTCGATGTGGACTTTGGAATTTACTGGGAACGCCCCAAGTTCAAACTTAGTATGAATTTGGGTAGATTCACCTCTATTTTCCAAGCATAAATTTTCCCCATACTTCAGTGTGCGGAAATTAATCTGCAAAAACACTATGTCAAACATATAATTTATATAAACTCTGATAGTCAAGCAGCACTCCGAGTGCTGAGGTCAAATTTAGTGAACTCGAAGCTAGTTGGAGACTGCGTGAACCGTTTAAACGCCCTGGGATGTAACAACAGGTTCGTCTTAAGATGGGTTCCGGGTCACGGGGGTATTGTAGACAAATTTGCACGGGAGGGCTTAAAGAGAACACAATTCGGACTTGAGCCATTTTGTGGATTCTCAAGAAGCCTAGCCCGATTGACACTTGAAACTCTTTATCACAATAAATCACTTAAGATCTGGTCTGACACACCAGGCTTAAAACATTCTAAAAACTTGATCCGGGCGTTTGATCGTAAATTTGCTTCAGAAGCCCTGGGATTAAGTAAAAATAAATTGCGCATTCTGGCAAGAGCCCTAACTGGACACTGTTGTCTTAAAAAGCACATGTCCATCCTGGGACTAAGCAACTCAAGGATGTGTAGGTTCTGTTCCATAACGGAAAAAACGCTTCTGCTCATCCTAATTGATTGCAGACCCTTAATGCTCAAACGTAACACAGGGGCGGAGCAAGACTTAAATATGGTGTCGGCAAGATCAATTTTACGAGGCCCCTGTGAGGCCCCGAGTGACGAATATTATTTTCCATTAATTGTATTTGGATGGATTATTACCCATCACAAGTCTACAGCTAAACATAGACCTCCCCTAGCTACTTTTACCGTCTCGAGCCACTTAAATACATCAACATCCTCCATATTTATCTGGTTGTTCAACCTCCATTTAGTGGGGTCGGGTCACCTCGCTCCGCTTACAAGAAGGCTGCACTCTAAAACCTTTCTTCTTCATAGGTTGTCGGTTCTTCGAGCAATGGCCAGCCCATTGCGCATTCTTTACTGATACCTTGAACCATGTTTGTAACCCTGGTTCTGGTGTGGATATATTCGATACGGATTTTGGAACGCAAAGTAACTCCGAGCACAGCCCTCTCAGTGCCCTCATAGTTTGCAGAACGACTTTAAGCTTTCTCATGCACCCAAAGAAGTTCCATAGGTCATTGCTGGCAACACCTACTGGTTGTACACATGTTTAGAGATTTTGAGGTTTATTGGACTTCACAATCGAGTCCTATTCGTCGCTTGACTACTTGGTTAAAAGTGGACTTGCCTAGTGGGTCTACTGTCGCAAATCAAGACAATACACAAATAACTCTGTGCAATCTAAATTATTTATGTAATAGCGCCCATATTAAAATCATTAGAATTTTCATTTCATTTATTTTAAGAATAATTAATAATGATTTCTTTTATTTACGCGAACACTATACATCGATTCAAACTACTTTTACGGATTTTATCGCGTTTATTTATGTTATTTTTAATACCCGACGTTTCGGGTGCTTTCCAGCACCCATGGTCACGTGAGGAAATATCCTCGAGGATGATACTGAGGTATTGAATTAAAAAACATCCTATTTCAATAGAGAAAAATATTGGGACCCTAAATAAAATTAAAACTAAACCCAAGCCACAATACCACTGCCAGACTTCAAAACACAGTTAGTTCATTGTGCGTAGAACGGACCATAGACAATAATTAAAAAGCTGAAGGTACTCCGGCTTAACTTTGACATCGGGACGTCAGTCACCTCAGTCCCCCGTGACCAAACCCGTGACCAGCATGGTTAAAAAAGTGCTGGAAAGCACCCGAAACGTCTGGTATTAAAAACATAAATAAACGCGATAAAATCCGTAAAAGTAGTTTTGAATCAAGAATAATTAATCTACAAAATATATAACTTTTCGCATGGTCTCCCGTGGATAAAGATATCAACGATATTGTTATATTAAATCTGTGAACCCATATTTTTCTTCCATATCTGTTACAGACATATTCTCCAATAACTAGTAGCTTCCTAACAACCCCAGTATACGTGTGACAAACACATTTTTCTCTGATGACTTAACCGTTGGAAACCTATCCGTTGGTAGATAATATGTAGGTTCAACTGAGCATAGTGCTAGGTTTCAAATCAACGTATTTTAGAGACTCTCATTTCCGGGAGGCTTTTTAGGGCAAGGAATTGTCGCGGTGCCTCAATGCGTGTTGGCGAACTTCACATGTCTTCGGAAAATTTTATATTTCTTACTTCTTAGATCTGCAGGTTTCGTCACGCTGTTATCCTTCAAAGCCGAGAGAGTGGAAAATCAGCACTTCAAATTGATTGTAATAATTTCATTTGTGCTGGCAGGGAATAAACCCGTATTGCTCGTGTACCGTAAAATTTACAGCGAGCGCTTAGCCGCTAAGCTGCCATGCCACAAATATATACCAAATTTTAAAGTAAACTTTATATTTAAGACATATGCTGGATGAGTGTTATTTTCACTGACCACAGACAATACCTACTGTATTACAGAAGTCTTGAATTTTCATCGTTCTAGATCTCGATCTGAAAATTCTTTGAACTTTCGGGGTGCGAGGCCCTTTGGGCTGCGAGGCAGTAGGCGGTCGCCCACGTCGCACATGACTTGCGCCTCCTGTAACCGGTAACACTCATCTGGGAAATTATGTACTCCACCCAGAAGAAGCGAAATTGCTCATGGTTAAGCAACTCCTTCTATTCATTGAAGACACAGGGCTTAGCAGTGAACTATAGCCATAGCAGCGATAACAATGATCGTTTAGGTAGCAGTGATACTGGTCTCCTTCCCTAGACCTGCATAGCTGCTCGCACATAATAAAAAAACTAAACATGAATTTTTGTATTGACTAGTGCTAACAATATGTCAAATAGATTTATTTCCAGTTGGTTTGTTAGATTTCATTATGATAGATAAAACAATTGGCCGGCCATATAGCTCGAAGAACCGACAACCGTTGGGGAAAAAAGGTTCTCGAGTGGCAGCCTCGTACCGGTAGGCGAAGTGTAGTGCAACCCCCCACTAGATGGAGTGACGACCTGGTAAGACATGCAGGAAGTCGATGGATGCAGGTGGCTCAGGACCGTGCTTTGTGGCATACCTTGGGGGAGGCCTAATTTCAGCAGTGGACTTGTGAAGGGCTGTAATGATGATGATGATGAGATAAAACAATTACATACTTTTTCATTTTCCATCATCATCACCATTATCATCACTATCATTAGCTCGTAAAAGTCATCTGCTGGACATCGCACTGCAGATCCAAATGTTTGTCTTGCACCTCTTCGATGCATCCTGTCGTCAGTTAGGGTATGTTGCGTCCGCCGTAACGGGATGGTTATTACGGTAAGGGTTTTCATTTACGTTTCCATTACTACACATACGGGAATAAAATGCAGTGAAGGATTTTTTAATAGTATAGGGTGACAAACAAGCACACAGTCCCACTGATGGTAAATGAATGCTGGCCCATAGATATTTACATTTATCCTCAATTAAGAATCAAAATTTAGATGCGTTGTCACCCTTGAGTACCAAGATGGAATACTTCGTTTCCAGTAAAACGAGGTCTCCTATTCTCTACACTCACCATACGAAACACTGCAGCATTAAGCTGCTATTTAAGAACTAGCACGAATTAGGTGGATCGATCGTGGCAGGACTACGTTCTCACGTGTTTCGTATGGTGAGTGTAGAGAAACAGGGACCCTTTTTATTAGAAACTGAGCATTCCATCTTAGTCCTCAAGGGTGACAACGCATCTGCATTTTCATACCCTATCGAGGATAAACA